GTGGTGCGGGTGCCATCCTTGATGAAGCAGCCTGTGCATTTATCAAGCAACATTAGACGAGGTGCAAGCTCCTCCACAGGGGTCACCCTTAATAATCTTCCTAGTTAGAGGTGGTGCGGGTGCCATCTTTGACGAAGCAGCATGTGCACTTATCAAAGCAACGATGGACGAGGTGCAAGCTCCTCCATAGGGGTCACCCCCAATGGTCTGCCTAGTCAGAGGTGGTGCAGGTGCCATCCTTGATGAAGTAGCCTGTGCACTTATCAAGCAATGTTGGACGATGTGGAAGCTCCTCCACCAGGGTCACCCCCACTGGTCTACCTAGTCAGAGGTGGTGTAGGTGCCATCTTTAGGGTAGCAAACGCGCTTGGATTACGAGGTGACTTATTCATTGGCTTCTTCTATTTTATTAAGTGGTTGAGTAAGAGGCTACGCAATGATGAATAAGTAAGGTTTCTTCCGTTTTATTAAGTGGTTGAGTAAGCCCAATGCGTTACTGGTTGAGTAAGTCCGATGCGTTACTACTTATTCATTGGCTTCTTCCATTTTATTAAGTGGTTGAGTAAGTCCGATGCGTTACTACTTATTCATTGGCTTCTTCCATTTTAATAAGTGGATTGAATAAGTCCGATGCGTTACTACTTATTCATTGGCTTTTTCCATTTTAATAAGTGGATTGAGTAAGTCCGATGTGTTACTACTTATTCATTGGCTTCTTCCATTTTATTAAGTGGATTGAGTAAGTTCAATGCATTGTATAAGAAGCGACTATATTGGCAATCATGTTGTGATGAAACTGTGCAATTAGGACAGTAAAGAGAAGCGTCAACACTTGGAAGAAAATAAATTTCATTCGTCATAAGAAGAGGCTGAAGCCATTACAAAATAAAGAAGCCTAATTTATGTTTACTATCACTTCGACCTCCACTACCTCCTCCTGTTGGGCTTCCTCTTGTTGAGCCTTCCCCTCCTCAGCTATTGGGTGACCTTTAGTTGGCCCACCAAACTCCTCTTCAAGGAACGCAATGTCCAGAGCTGGGTGCCTCTCGCGCAAGTGAGACATCATTTCCTGAGCAGCCCAGGAGGCCCAATAATTGGTGAAGTCGTTATACTCAGGCATTTTATCAAAATTGTCCTTGTAATTTTGGATTGCCGCTTCACTCACTGTCTTCACCTCTGCTTTGAGGAAGCCAATCTCTTCAGCCTGGGCCTCAGCAAGTCTCCTCAGTTCGCCTTTCTCCTTGTTCGCTTCTGTCAACGCTTCTGAGGCCAGCCGTTGATGCTCATTCGCATTGTCAACCCTCTTGGTTAGAGCTGTTACTTGGGAGGTGGCCTCATGGAGTTCATGTTTTTGACAATTGGCTCGGAACTCAACCTCATCCAACTTTAAAGTAGTCTCTATCCACTTCTCCTCCACCTCCTCCAACTCCTTCTTGGCCTTCTCCACCTCGACCTCCTAAGTTTTTGAGGCTTTCAATTTCTCCCCCAACTTGTCATTAAGCTTTCGGAGGCCTCTTACCCGATCTTTTTCTGTGGGGCCCATACTTAGGGTCCTACCCACGCAGGCATTATTGGCTACCAGTAGGTCCTCAACCTCACATGAAGAGGCATGGTTGGCCCAATCGTCAGTCCAGTACTTGATGTGGACCCTCGCAGCTGAAGCAGTCTCTAAATGGAGCATCTCCAGCACAGCCTCGGAGAGATCATTGTCCTTGCTCCCCAGAAAATCAGTGGCCTTCTCTCGAGCTGAAGTGTTTGCAGACCTCTTTTACTTCTTCCTGGACTGGCCTTCAGCAAAGTAAGCGGTTATAGGCACCATGGCCTGAGGAATGGTCGAAGGGGCCGCCACGGTCACCCCAGGTTGAGTTGGGGGAGGAACCTCCTTCAAAGGAGTTGAAGCAGATGCCCTTATTGGACCAGCCCTCTTTTTCTTCACAAGTGGGGCTCCTACCTCTACCTCATCTTTCGTAGCAGGGTGAGGAGCCTTGCTGAGGGATAGTAAACGGCGAACTACTTCTTATACACAGCCGAGCTCGTTTTCAGCATCTTCGCCTTCGCCACACTTCGGCGAATTGTCGCGAAATCAGGCCTCGACGCCTTCTTCTTTGCAAAGTCTCCTACAAGCAAGGCAAACGGATAAGTACTTGAGGCGAAAGAAAAAATACGAAAAGAGCTTAAGCGGGGTATTTACCTAGGTTCGACATCAGTCCGTGGGCGACGAAGTGAGTGTCCTTGTCGATGATCTCTTTCTAATTCCTTTCCTTTGGAGACAGCTGGTAGAGCTGGCTTATGATATCCCACTCATCCTCAGATATCTCATACCTCGGCAAGGAGCCTGCAAGTGAGTATATTAAAAACATGAGCAAAATACACAAGTGAAATCAACTCAGGAAAGAAACTTACTGTAAGTCGAGTATGAAGTGGGGATGGTAAGAGGTGCCATAGGGTCGCCCTCCATGGTGTCCCACCTCTCAGTTACCCAAAAATAGGAATTTCTCCAGCCCTTAACAGAAGTGGCCAACCTGATCACGAACGGGGCATGCGACCCCCAAGGCGCCAAGTAGTGCTAGCCCTTGTTCTCCTCTCCCCCGCCACACACTTCGAAAAGAAAAGGGAATGGAACACACTGAATGGCATGTCCATCCCAATGCTGGCCCGACGCCATAACATCCACGTGCCTACCATGTGGGACCACGCATTCGGGTTCAATTGGGTAGGAGCCAGCCCGTATGATCGAAGCACTAACCTAAAGAAAGGGTGGAAGGGGAGTCTTAACCAAGCCTTATGGAGGTTTTCGCTCACCGCTACGCACCCCGACCTCAGATAGCACGCTCTCTCATAAGGCTCGGACACTATCTATTATATACTCTCAGGGATCCTAAAAACGACCCTACACCTCTCCAGAACCTCCCTAGTGATGCTGGAAGGATAATTTGAAGCCTCCCATTGGACCAAAGTGTCTACAGGAAAGGCTGGGCACCTTCAAATGTTTTCATCGGCCCTAATGGCCCTACTCAACTCGTCCGATGTTACCAATATCAGCTCCATCAGAGCAAAACTCCCCTCACCTCTTCTCTCCCCACTCCCAGAGGCACTAACAGACTACTTGCTCGCCATACAGAGATCTTTTTGGTAGAATCTAAAGAAAAAGAGGAGGAAACTGAATTCAAGTTTTGTTACCTAGTTCAACGGTTGCCAGAACTCAAAAGGTCAGTAGTCGGAGTTTTGGATGGTGGTCGGAGAAGGAAGCACGAATGTAGGGAACGCAAGAATTCTTTAGAGATTTTCACAAAAGTAAAAGTTTCAAATTGAAAGGGATTGGCCTTTTATAGGCATTCCAAACTCACCCCATCCATCGAATCACCCACTTTCATCTGGGCCATCCAAAGTTGAGGCACAGGGATCTCCATTAATACCAATGGTCATTCGAATCAATGACCTTGATGAAGTAGTGAGGTACACGTGCGACCCAATCACGTTACCTCGAAAAATGAAAATCGTCGCCATCATTACCATTTATGGCAAAGGGGGCGTGCTTTGGAAGCCAACAAACACCCCTCATGATTACATTAGGAAGACACAAAAGCCTTCAAACCGTTGACACAAAACCCAAGGCTCCCTTCAGAGCCCATTACTTCAGAACCTATAACGCTTCGGCCTCAATAGCTTAACGTTACAACAGCTCTCCAAAGAGTTGCCAACCTATAACGCTTCGGCCTCAACATCTTAGCGTTGCAACAGCTCTCTCAAGAGTTGCCAACCTATAACGCTTCGGCCTCAACAGCTTAGCATTGCAACAGCTCTCCAAAGAGTTGCCAACCTATAACGCTTCGGCCTCAACAGCGTAGCGTTGCAACAGCTCTCCTAAGAGTTGCCAACCTATAACGCTTCGGCCTCAACAGCTTAGCGTTGCAACAACTCTCCACAGAGTCGCCAACCTAAATTGTTTTGGCCACTACATCCTAGCGCTATAACAGCTCCATAGAATTACCAGCCTACATCACTTCGGCCAGAATAGAAACTGATGTTGCTACAACTTACCTCCTCGAGTTTTCAATCCGTATCACTACGGCTATCCACATCTAGCGCTCATCCCCGTGCATACCAACTTAAGTTACTGAAATTAAGTCCTCGTACGATATAAATATTCATACATGGACTTGCGAGACCATTGTTACGGGTCGATGTCATACCCTCAACCTTATCTCCACGTGTCAGCAAAGGTTGCCCACCGTAACACGCGTCAACCGAGGTGATTATCCCATAGGATGATCTGAGTGCACGCAACGAAGTGATTACATGAAGGACGAATTGAATAGGCGCCAGCGGACAAACTGGACTCATCCGCCAACATATCGTGGATGCAAAGGCCCGCACTCCGCTCATATAACACTGCAATGCCTCACTTGCCTCGCCTCGCCTCATTAAAGATCTTTCCAAAGTCAGATCACTGACTGATGGGACGCGTGACAGGACTCAAACGGTCAAATCAGTTGCTCTTGTCAGAAACATTCAATGCCGCCAGCCTATGGAGGGATGGATTGATACCTAGGATGGGACGATCTCTGGAGATCTGGCTACATGTGTCTCCTCATCCAACGGCTCTCCCCTCTCCATCCTTGGTATAAATACTCCCTCCTTATGCCTCAAGAAAGATTCGGATCCAACACTCACCAAACTATCACTACATTGTGAAATTAAGTATTCTATTCCCTCGATTATTATTATTATTCGATACACTTTGTCAACCACTTCCGGCGAGTGTTTCACCACTGACGAACTCTTCTCCGATTGAACTACAAGCTGACTTGACCGTCGGAGTGCTTGCGGCCGCTCCCAACCCCTCTGGGAAAGGTCATGAGTGCCTAATGACGTGCTAGCACATGTCCTTCTCGACTGAACTTCACATTTTCTGTTGGCCACGTGTCGAGCCATTTTTCGAGGTCAACAAATTATTAAGTATGCTATCAGATAATAAAAAATCCATTGAAATCATTTACCTTTCAATTGCATCCATGAGAAGAGTAAGTTCATCTAGGGTCCCATAAATGTCATAGATGTCATCAATGACGGAAAGCATGGCGATTACTTTGGTTTGCATTTTTCTACCATGAGAATATTTGGGCACAAAGAATCCTCCCAATGCCCAAGATTAGCATTCGAACTCCAACGGCTCCCACCAAAGTAAGAGGTAATTTATTTTCAAACTCCAACGCCTCCCATCACCTACGCAAAATTTATTTTCTAAAGTAAAATTTCAAAAATATTACTAGCATGTATATTCAATATTAAATTGACAAGACCTATTGCTTGACATTACTTAAAACTATGAGAAAATGGTCAATTTATAGGGACCATGTAGGGGATGTCCAAACTCTCCTAGTAGAGTTGTTGATGAAGCAGGATACCAAAAAATCGAGTCCAAAACAAATTACAACTCTCAATGGGCTTCCAAAATAAAATTTCAACTTGACATAAGACACCAATAGCATTCGAAACTGAATTCTTGTTGATGTGCGCTTCAATTAGAATTCTTCAATTACTTCAACATGGAATTCGACTTACACCAAAATTCTAACAATATATTCTTCTTAAAAATCGTGATTCATAAATGAGTTGTTTTTCAGAAGAATAGAGTGCTTATGTTATTCTAGACGACTAAAACTAATGCATTTAGCGGATTTTTTAAGTTACATAATTAATTATGTAATTTCATTATTTTCGAAAGATAAAGATAGACAAAATACTTAAACCGAAACAAAACTAAAAGTTACTAATTAATTAAACAAAAAACTTCACCTACTGATGCGAAACGACCTTCTAATATGTTCAGCTACCCAAATTGTTATGAATTTTAGATCGCAAGATAATGACGATAATGAAATAAGTAACAAAAAAATAAATGCCGAAATTTACATGGAAACCCAATATGGGAAAAACCATGGGCTGAGGAGAAAAATCTACTATAATCAATAGTAATTGTATTTACAATATTAGGATCTCAATGCTCTCAATTGAAATCTAAGCTCTCTAACTCTAAAAATGTTGTTGAATAATTATGTGTGAATATATNATATATATATATATATATATCTTTGTTGGAGTTCTAGACAAAGAAGAAGTCAGTTTCCAAGCCAAATTTTCAATTCTTGATGAAATTTGATCTTCATTAATTTAGACTCTTAAAACCCCAAACTGCTTAAACTTCTTTTATTCTACCAAATCCAAATAACATGGAATTTGGATCACACCACAACAAATCTTCAGTTTGAAACAAATTCCATCACAAAGAATTCAAAACACATCTCCAAGTAAACACCATTCCTCCTCTTCCAAACAAACCCTAATTGACTAAACCAATAACAAACACCCACTAAGTTCGAGCACTATTCAAACTCAGCAATAAGAAGTAGTTTTACCATCATATCAGCAAGATTATCTTTGGTATCAACATTACTCACTGCAATATCACCACTAGCAATCACGTAACGCATAAAATGACACCTCAAAATTTTCAACGAGTAGCATACAAAGTTTCTTAATCATCTCGAAAGATGTATTCGAAGTTGTCGCAAGCAAATCTTTTGAACTAAAACGTACGACAATCAAAATTGAAATATAACCTTCACATTAGTATTCATGATGTTCCATATTTAGTTGCCATGATGAGTTTCGACAACTTTGAATCCTAGAAATTCTTTTCAATCATTTGCATTCTTGCTTCGATGTTTTATTCTCAACTATTACTAAGCAAGATAATCATTATTTGATGAGTAACTTGAATCGTAATAAGTCTGATATTATTGTCAATCTTCACATTCAGCAAATATCTACACTTTTCTAAATTATATCTGATGCTGGTGGAAGGAGAATGTGAGACAATTGCCTTATGAATATTAGATTGATTCGTTGGGTTAACACTACCCATTTTTATGGGGACTTCTAAGCAAGTACTTTGAGTAATGAAATTTGTCAAGATGATAAGTCGTAATAAAGTGGATGTTGATTTTCTTGATGATTGTATAACACTCTCGATTGGATGATAAACATAAACTCTCTTTGAACACAACTTTAAAAGGTAATATGATGTTTTTTGTTAAATTTTTTATTACATTATATTATTGACTTTTTCAAATTTCTTTATCCTACTTAAAATCTACTTACATTACTCTATCTCTGTCATAAGTTTACCCATCACCATATACAAATCGTACCAAATGTCACTAAAGAAGAAAATAATTTTGTTTATCTCATAAGAACGTTTGCATGACCGTTTACATTCTTGGGAAGATATTATAAGGAGAGGCATTAAAAGAACCTACCACAAACTTTGAAATATAGATTCAAACTCGGGTTGTTCACCATAAGAAGAGTCTAAATCAGCATTAAATGCTCTAAACTGGATTCCTTCAAACTGGATCAGTTTCTCTGAGGTAAATTCCATTGAGAATTTACTTAATCATGCACAACGGAAAATAAAACAATTTTCAATTTTCACCAAGGATCTGCATTGTGTTTAGATAAAAGTTGTGATAAGAATAATACCTTTGATGAATTCTACAAACTCATTTGCTTTTCTTGAACTCGAATGATCACGATCTGCAATCCAAGCTGTCCAATTGCCCAGTCTCTAAAGGTAATCCACACAGAGAACATGAATGACGACTAGGGTTTTCTTTTCTTGTACTAGCAATAATAATGAATTATTTCATTCAATTTTCAAATCTTAGCAGCTTATTAATATAAGCCCAAGCGGGCTTGGCCCGTCTTATAATTAATTAATTAATTCGGGCCTATTAATAAGCAACCCAATTAATTAATTATTCAACACTTGCCAATTAATTAATGGGTAAATCTCATTCTTCTGTATGACCCATTAGGTTTCCCATCACGGTGTCTAATGACGTGAATTATTATTTTGATCTAATCAAAATTGATAAATTAAAACACCCCTTTTAATTTATCACTAATTCACATTCGTCGTCCCAGATTGAAATCTAGCAATGTGTTAGGGCAATACATATGACGAAAAATGTCATGTGGTATGACAAAACCAAACATGTTCGTTTACTGTGANTTCACCATAAGAAGAGTCTAAATCAGCATTAAATGCTCTGAACTGGATTCCTTCAAACTGGATCAGTTTCTCTGAGGTAAATTCCATTGAGAATTTACTTAATCATGCACAACGGAAAATAAAACAATTTTCAATTTTCACCAAGGATCTGCATTGTGTTTAGATAAAAATTGTGATAAGAATAATACATTTGATGAATTCTACAAACTCATTTGCTTTTCTTGAATTCGAATGATCACGATCTGCAATCCAAGCTATCCAATTGCCCAGTCTCCAAGGGTAATCCACACAGAGAACGTGAATGACGACTATGGTTTTCTTTTCTTGTACTAACAACAATAATGAATTATTTCATTCAATTTTCAAATCTTAGCAGCCTATTAATACAAGCCCAAGCGGGCTTGGCCCGTCTTATAATTAATTAACTAATTCGGGCCTATTAATAAACAACTCAATTAATTAATTATTCAACACTTGCCAATTAATTAATGGGTAAATCTCATTCTTCTGTATGACCCATTAGGTTCCCCATCACGGTGCCTAACGACGTGAATTATTATTTTGATCTAATCAAAATTGATAAATTAAAACACCCCTTTTAATTTATCACTAATTCACATTCGTCGTCCCAGATTGAAATTTAGCAATGTGTTAGGGCAATACATATGACGAAAAATGTCACGTAGTATGACAAAACCAAACATGTTCGTTTATCGTGAAACTATAATCATTTCGTGAATATGATCTGATCAATTACGAGATATGAATATGTATCAATCTCAATTATCGATCTTATCTTTCATCACACTGTTAAGTCAATGTAAGTCGAAAATTCCTTTTTGACTTATGAGTTCACCCTAGCCAATGATTTCATTGTCAACTTAAATGGATAAAATGTAGATCATAATCTCTTACTATCTAAGAGTGATGAATCCTCTATTGATAATTCAAAACCTTCATATGATTCTTGACATCTCTGAACGATGCTATATTAGCGACCATTGGCAGAACAATATCCAACATTACCAAAGTATGAACGTCCTCATATAAGGCACTATGATGACTGATAAGTGCATTTCATACACTTATTTAGATTGTCAAAACATGGATACTCGTTATTATTTGGATTGAATTGTGGCCAAATTTGTTATTTATTTTATGTTTTAGGTTCACATCGATTGATACACGGAAATTGGAGAAAATGATTAAGAAATGGAGTTAACGACGCAACTAGAGAAGATGAAGATGAGGACTAAAATGCAAATAATTGAAACTTAGCTTGGAGCGAGAAACGAAAGTCGAGAGTGTAATGATTCAATTGGACATAAAGAGAAGAGCAACATTGGATAGAAGTAGAAAATGGTGCAAAAAATGAAGCCTGTGGAAAGTTAGTGGCCAAATTGCAAAGGCGCACCTCTTATTGAGAGATAATAAAAGGAAAAATTCTGTGGCTTTTAGAGGGGGGCAGTATTTTGAGAGAAAAGAGAAAAACCTACATCAAAGAAGAAGGAATTCACCATTGGGATCCAATTTTGAAGGCTTGAAGTGAAGATTCCCAGATTTTCTTCATAATTATATAATTCGGGTGATGGCTTCCTTTTATTTTCTATGTATTTCTTATATTAATATGCTAGGCTAAGTTTAATTGTATTGGATGGATGATGAAACTCTTTGATTTTTAGTTTTTTGTTGCTTGACCTGTTATTTTTAGTTTAATTCTTGCGTTGTGATTCCATAAACATGTTTATTCATATTGTTTTAATGCTTGCGCACCATTAGGGCAATAAGTTGCTTATGCATAGTGTTGAAAAACTCACGATATGTAGAATATTGTTTATGGAACACATGAATAATAAATATTAGGAATAATATTTACGAAATGTACGATCGTGTGTGATAATCCTAAATTTCAATCCATGTTTGTTATAGGAATGCGGACTAGGAATATGATCGTGTCGTGATAAACATAGGTTTATTATATCTTGGAAAAGAGTAGTAAATAAAAGTGAAATTATGGATTGTTA